TTTTTTAATTCAATTCCGAACGGATGGAGTAGTCCTTCTAACTATTGCAATACAAATTAACTAAAACTATTAGTTTTCTTTGGGTTTTCTCCTCTTTTTTATAAAAAACAATTCAAAAAAGTATTCCTCGGTACCACTTATTTTGAGAAAACTAACTGTTGGATGCCTCACATTTTTTAAATATACTCAAAGATGCCCTCTATTTTGAGAAATTAATTATCCTACCTCACATTTTTAAAATATAGTCCGGGGTACCTCCAAATATACATTAACTTACCCGTAAAGGACATTCGGTCTCACTCCCAGTCAAAGCCAATTACGCCATTAATTTTAAGAAATATAAAAATAACATTGGTTCTTATACTTTAAGGATATGATCTATCCAGTTTAATCGAAGCTTTCGATTGAAACGGGAGGTCCCTCGCGGGTAAGTTGATATACATTTGGAGGTACCCCGGAGTATATATTAAAAATGTGAGTTACCCGACAGTCAATTTCTCAAAATAGAGGATACCCCAGAGTATATTTTTAAAATACGAGGTACCCGACAGTTAGTTTCTCAAAATAAAGAGTACTCAGGCACAGTTTTCCGAAAAACAATTAGTCTGAATGTAATTAAGGGTTTTTAAGTTGTTAAATTAGCCCATCACACAAATCATCAATCCATTGTGCCAGTAAATATTTTTTGTTTATGCCTGGAGAAGGCCGGCCGGGATCAAGTCTTCATACAAAAAGGTGTTCTTCATCTTTTAGCCCTCTCAATAAACCCAATATTGCTTTGGATTCTAGTTTCCACAATTAGAATGAGATTAGTTGATAATTTTAAAAATTACATAGTTAATTCTACTCCATATAAGGGGTAGTTGAAGAGAGAATCTGTTCATTCCATCTTTTGGCAAGTAATCGTCTTTTTTAATTTTTAGAATCTGATTCTTAAATTTTGAAATTAAGCTAATCTTTCAAAATCTACGATAAATATAATGTACTTATGTACTTGTAATACTTTGCTGATTTTGAAATCGGACTGAGGGTCCAAAAATTAAATAAATTCTTGTCATAACATTATGAAAATAGTGAAATTTATACTAAATAGTACTATAACATTAATCATTTCCCGATATATTACTTGAATCATTTTATACTTTAAATAGTACTTGAATAATGTCTAGTGGTGGAAACAATGTATAGTAAAATTAGACAAGTAGACATTTAGTTTAAACAATCTCAAGTGGCGGTGGACATTTATTGAACAATGACCAATGCACAATGACCACTGGTACTATATTCGGAAATAAAAAGATATGATATTATTTAGAAAAGTCACTATGTTTTAGTACTATTTAAATAAATTCCTAATGCAACAGTGGTAACACTCTTCGTCTCTTCCATTCATGAGATATAATTGATTCAAAACAAAGTAAAATATATTGGACGAGTGGCTTATGTAGAATAAAAAGTGACATATTTAGGAATAGAATTCCTTCTTACATGGAAATAATAATTCAAGTCATAAAGCACTCCCAAAGAAATAAATTTTCTGTATAAAATGAAAATATATCTACAAAAATATACTCCTCTCATCTAAAACAAACTCAAATTTTTATTATTTACAAAGTCAAACTATTTTTTCTCTTCATTTTTTTCTTTTATTATTTGATACGATTAAAATGATTAAGTCACCTCTTTTTTATAGAATTTTTAAATTTTAAAAAATTATAATATTATATCAAAATTTAAATTAAGTTTGTTATAAAACAATGTTATATCAATATAAAAATCTTTTATAACCATACGAAATTAAAAAAATATCAATATTTAAAAAACATATTTCCATGTCAAACTTAAAATGTTTTATACCAATATTTAATTTTATATCAATATTTTACTTTATATCAATATTTAAATATATTGAATTAAAATTTAAATTCAATCAAACATTATATAGAAAGTTTTTAAAATTTAAATAAAGAAAATAAAATGATTGTGACACCACACATTTAATTTCTAAATAGGTAAAAACAGAAAATATGAAATTTATTTTAAGATGATAAAAAATTATAGTTTATTTTTAAATGTAGAGAATGTCAAAATAAGAAATCAAATACTACGGCATATTCGGTATTAATAAGAATTGACTCTCTGATATGGGTAGTTTGACCAAGTATCGTACGGAGAGTAAATCATGTTATTATTGTCTCTCAAAATCAATCTTCAAAACATTTGAAATCTTACTGATTTGCCAGATATATCTCAAATATCCTTTGTTTACTCCGTATATTTTAATCATATGGCCCGTTTGGTAATAATTTTAATATTTAGTTAGAATGTTTTGAAAAAAAAATGTTAATGAGCATGTTTGAGAATAGCGTTAGCGTTTTGAAAAGGCTATTTACAGGTAGCGTTTAGCGTTAGCATTTTCAAAGTAATCTGCACCGTTAAAATTTTATCCAAAACACTAACGCTATTCCCAAACAGGACCAATGATGGAGCAACATTTAGTTTTACTAACATTTATGGACTTAATTATATTGTTAACAAATTATTAAGGAGTCAAAACACTAACATTAGTTTAAAAAAACATTGTTCCCCTAAAAAATGTGGCATAATTTGTGGTACCAATTTTTTTTTTTAAAAAAAAGAGAAAATTACAAGAATAAAACTAAATGAAGGCTAGTTGACACAAATAGGGCTCATTTTAAACATGGGATAAAACCTACATAATTAACTAAATTGTTCACGGCCTATGTGCTCTCTCCCTTAAAAAAAGAAAAAATAAGAATAAAAATGGCATGAAAACAATAGGATGCAGGAGAATATGACCTTATAAATTCCATCCGTGTAAAAATAAAAATTGGTCCCATGCATGTAAATCTACAATAATTTAGTCATATCTTAGGTAATTCTCTTAAAAGAACTTACCAACTTATGACACCAAATTCTCTTGGAGTCTAACGTATATAGACATTTTTATTGCTTGCATAAACAAATTCAGAAACAATAGTCACTTAGGAGTGTTTGTTGACACTGTCCCATTTTGGTACTACGGTGCCCTCTGGAATTCTGGGATACCTATGTTACTCTGTTTGTAAAATTAATACTCCCTTCGTCCCTAAATAAACTTCCTCTTTCATTTTTTTCTTTGTCCCCAAATAAACTTCTATTTTCCCTTAAAAAACCGCTTTTACCCCTTACTTTTTCATACCCTACTTATCACATCATACATTTTTACTAATAATCTACATATCACATCTTACTTTTACACATCACATCAAGGGTATTTTTGGAAAGACAACACAAAAATATCCCTCCCTTAAATCTTCAAGAAGTCAAAAAGGAAAATTTATTTAGGGACGGAGGGAGTAGTTCGTATCCCACTACCCCAGATAAACTTCCCACCTACCAATTCAATTTCATCCCGAACTTTAAATTTTGTTGACTTTTCAATCAAAAATTTGATTCCAAAGTCAACAACATTTCGGAGGTGAAATTGAAGGGATTAGTAGAATAGGTACACGCTGTGCAAGAGTGGGTGTTAGGAGTAAAAATCATAAACTTTACAAACGTAACATCATAAATACTTCAATTGAAGTCGGCGTCACGGTTGACACACAAAATGAGAACCTAGCCGTAGTCCCTAACAATAAAGTTAAAAACATCGAATTTTTTTCCCTCAATTAAGAAACACAATATGCGTCAATCGTGGTATTTAATTAAAATGACGTTTTCGCGGCATGTTAAGAGTGATCATAAACCAGCGTATAATCATCATTAAAATGCATAATAATGGGTTGAAAACGTAAATGGGCATCATAATCATAAAATAGTTAAGTATGGGTACAAATAAAGGATGTAGTAGGGTCGATTGCATAAATTCTGTAAAATATCTTAACGGAGTATAACATGCTCGTTTGTGTGTCGTTTTGATATGCCCAAGAATAAAATAAACAAATTTCAATCACACACTTTGTTTCAAATTATATTGTTTGTTTATTATTTATAAGATTGAATTTTATTCTTTTTTTATATATTTTCATTACTAATTTGATAAATTAATATTTATAATCATACCACTCCTTGTTTCCAATGATCTTTTTATGCATTATCTATTTTTTAATTCTACTCCAATTTTCAAATAAATTGAGTAAAAAATAATTTTATTTAAATCGAAAAAAACCATTTAACTTAAAAAGAGGAAAAAATATTTGTAAACTTTCTAGTAGTCAAAACCAAATATTATTATAAGAATATTTTGCTATTTTAAACTCTTCTCTGAACTTTTAGGAAAACTACCCTTATTAATTATAATCTCTCAGACTACATAAACATTCTACTTTTTTTTAATTCCAATAACTATATTTATATACAAACAATATCTATTTTCAATTTTGGGTGATTTTAATCAAAATCATTGTAAAAGAAAAAAGAAAAGAGAATAAAAATGGAAAAGAATGGGGATGAGAACGGATTCACAGCAATAAAAAGGAAAAGTAAATGAATTGACAGGAAAAGATGGAGTGATCCGCACCTCAAGTCTGATCGGTTTTATTCCTAAATTAGTTATCTTGTTTTGTCACTCCGTAGTTTCCTAAAGTATATAGCATATAAAATAACTCTTTTTGAAAGTTAATATTTGGCTTTCAATGCTCCAAACTCTCAACTCAAAACTAAACACAGCTACCCTGGTCTTCAAAGTTTAATTTTCAAGATATTTAAAATTTTCTTCAACGTTCAAATTTCAAAACACTTGAAATCTTATTGGTGTGCAACCGCATAAATCTCTGTGGTTAAAACTCAAAATTTATGCAGAGAAACACAATAACTTCTGAATGGCAGAAGAAAAATGAGAATGTAGCAATTTATGGAAGCACTCCCTACACCTTCCAAATTTATTATCCTGGACAAGTAAAAAGCCGAACCCGACAGACACCCAGGCACCCCACACCCCGTGCCCAGTTCGCACAAAGACCTAGGATCTATGGACTTGACATACTTTCCTTGGACCAATAGAACTAAGCTAAGGTGTGTGCACAAGGCAAGGGTTAAAATCATGCTTGAATCTCATTGACCAAAGACACAAACCAAATGATCGAATGCTAATTCAAAGTGATACAAGAACACAGGTATTATCATTAAAATGCATAAAAATGGATTGAAAACGTAATCAGCATCAATATCATAATAAGGTACATTGGAGCAATGGATTTACCCAAGAGCTCACTTCACTAGAAAGAGTAAACCCTTTCCCTCCTTTCCTTCCCTTCCCCCCCACCTAACCCTCCTTCCTCCCAGAAACAAAATCAGGAAAAGTTTAACTAAGAAGCACTAAATACTTTAGAACACATCATCATCATCATGGACCACAAAGATGCCAATCACCAAATCTTCTGGGTACTTTTAATCAGAGTCCTCATCCTGGCAAAGAACAGGTAATTCATCAATAAATAATAATGTGGTTACAATAATAAAATTCACTTAAAACAAAGCAGATCAAAATTACAAACCTCGCCGCTCTCATCATCATCGTCATCTCCGTCTTCATCGTTCACCTCTGACTTTGACTTGTCGGATTCCTCGTCCTCCTCTGCAGGACCCTCAGCCTGGGGTTTCATGAGCAATTATTCAGTAATTTGTAAACACTGGATCAGAATATGCATAAAGATTGCAGTTTTAAGAACTACCAAATTACCTGTCTTCTATCATACTCTTTTATGTCCTTCTCATATTTCTTTTTCCTTTTCTCAGCCTCCGCCACATAAGGAGCTTTTTCCTGAGAGAGATGTATGATATTCAGTATGTCTTGGAGTAAAAGTTGTTAATGAAGAACAGTAAGCAATCAAAAGAGAAATCATACGGCATCTGAAAGTTGTTTCCATTTTGCACCTCCGGCTTTACCGACCTGAAATTTGAAATAGAATTGAATCAATTGATATATACATATTCAAGTTTGGGTTTTTCATATTCAATCAACTGAAAAAACGGATCTGGTAATCTTACTTCAGAAACTGCCTTGTTGTTCGGATTCTTACTCTTGTAGGATTTGCGGAAGTCCTCCCTGTAATTCCACAAACGAATTATAAAATTACGAGAAAAAGGCATAATATCAATCATAATACTCTCTACTTTCCAAGAGCATAACGAATTGTACATGAAGACGATAATTCTGAGCAAAAAATCAATCATAATACTCTCTAATTTCCGAGAGCAGTACGAATTGTACAAGAACACAATAATTAAGAGAAAAAAAAGCACAATATCAATCATAATACTCATAGAGCAGGACGAATCGAATCGTACATGAAGACGAAAAAAGCACTGGAAGGCCTCTTGGGCTTGTTCGGATCCTTAGCAGCTTTAGTAGCTTTCGCAGATTTCTTCACCGCAGGGGCGTTCTTCTTCACGGCGAGCCTAAATTCAGAAAATTAAAAGCAAATATATCAAATTAATTACCGGATCCTCAGAAGCTCACAGAAGACGCGATAAAAATCACAGATCCAAACGGCAGGGGAGGAGAAAAGGCAAATTGAAAGAGAGAAGAGAGCAGAAAGTCACTTGTTGTCGGCTTTTGCCTTGGATTTGCCCCCCTTCATGGTGAGACCTGCGAGGAAACGACGAAAACCGGTGAGAATCGGCGGAAATCGGTAGGACTCGGGCGAGTCAGCGCCGCATGGCGGCGAGTTTACCTCTATCTAGGGTTGAGACGAGCGAGAGAAGAAGAGAGAGAGAGATGCGTTCGGCTTGTGTGGGTATTGTGGGGAGAGATGTGGGGAGGGTACGGGGGGCTTTCGAGAGAGATAAGAAGGGGCGGGAGGAGAGGACTGGAAGGGAAATTATTTTTATTCTTCAGTCTCAGAATTGGGAATTTCAAGTCCGGGGGAGGATTTGGGCGGAATTTCAAAAACTTCCTTGCCACGTCACCGATCCGTGTGATCTCCCCTCGCTGGCTAATGCTCCTTCTCATTCCCGTTTGGGCCTATGTGCTTTCTTTCCTTTGTGCTTCTTCGCCCATTGACTTGAAACCCTTATGTTCACTTTCGTCATTTTAAAATCCCCCCTTCAATGTTCAAAATCCATCTCGTCCACCCTTTCATCGCTTCTCCATTGTCCTTCGACTCGATCAAAAGTAAAAATTGAGTGGTAACAATTACCCCCCCCCCCCTCCTGTGTCCAAGAATAATTTTCTCAATCATTATTCACAAATTCATACTTTATTCACTTTGTTGATCTATTGTTTATGGTCATTTGATAAAATAATATAATCATGTCACATCTAGTTTCGTAGATCTATTCATATAATTTATAAATATATAGTTTTTATTATATAATTCTAAACTATTTTTCATATAAAATAGTTTGAAAAAAAATTCAGTCAAATATCGTAACGTGCAATGGAAAGATTATTATGGGTTGGGGAAGTATAACAATAGGTATAAAATATAGAGTGTTTCTATGGTACACTTTGAGTGCACATCATTTTTGTGCAGCTTCTCGCCTGTTTTTTTATTCTTTAATTTTTAATTAAAATAAATGCCAAGTGAGACTGGCTATGNGGGGGGGGGGGGGGGGGGGTCGACCATGCCACCATGGGGTTGATCCTGGAATCTCCCCATGTTTTTGGCTCACGATACTATCGTACTAGTTTGTCTTCTTGTTTTGTACGTTGGTCATGTGATTGACTTGACCAATGAAGAGGACAACTTTGGAGTTAGGCTTTATTGACATGCGAGGGGACAACTGTGGCCAATGATTGCATTGGACGCTTGATGAGGTTGAACGCACGAGTCACTCTGGAGGGTGACCGTGGGACTTATGATGAACAATGAGTGGGCAATGTTGTTGAGGATTAACCATGTGGTTACTTTATCTAAATGGTCTTATGTTCAATCTCATTACCCTCTAGGATTGGCTTTAGGTATATGTGTGATGTAAATAAAACATATTACACACTAAGTAGAAAAAGTGAATGAGAAATATCTAACATTATAACACACACCTAGTTGATTACTTTTTCTCTTCCATACATATCACATCATACATTTTCTCTAATAATCAACACATCACATCCTACTTTTACCCATCACATCAAGGGTATTTTTTGGAAAATCAACACAAAATTATCCCTCCATTATTTTACCACTTTAGTCAATATGTCCCTGTGTTTATTGGACGAAGGGAGTACAACATATCGGAGTCCTAAACCTTTCCATGTGAAACAGAGGTCCCACTCAAGCATGTTAATTATTTGTTGGGTGGGTTGAATATTTGCCACCTTCGAACAACATATCACCCATTCTTGTATGTATATTTTTACCTGGAACCTATTCGACATTATGTCCACATGGGAGTCATATTTATGAATCTTATTGGTAATTCTTTTCCTCAATCATTTTGGGCAAGTCTTATCTTTCTTCTAGGCTGCCTCTTTAGCATCTCACTATCACCAAGACATTAACACCATCATAACATAAACGTTCTAATCAAGAATTAACAATGTAATGTTACGGGGTTAAACTTCACCTTCATGTAACACACCAAGAGAGTGTAACTTCACCTTCATGTTATGGGGTTAAACTTCACCTTCATGTAACTTCACCAAGACAGTACAAGAATCATCATTGACTTCCCTCGATTAATCGTGGACACCTTGATCGGAGGTCCAAACGTACATTAACATTAGTGCGGTATGCAATTTAATTGATTATAATGAATTCAAAACCGAGTATACCTTAATCGGGTTGAATTTGGGTCAAAACAGAGCCAGACTTGGGCAAGAGGGTATGGGCTAATCATTAATCAGAGAGCGCAGCTAATCAATTAGGGGCAACCATCGACAAGAGAACTTACAACTGATGAGTAATCAAATAGACTACTTGGCTGATCGATTATCGACAATATTTCTTCAATTACTTTAGTATTGACATCTTAGTTTCATTTTTTCACATTAAAAAGGTAAGCACTTACCACCTCTCTCTAAAAATGAGTTATAATTTGACTCAACACGTTTATTTATGAGAGTGAAGGAATTGCATTAACTTTCCTAGTTTGTTGACTACTATTCGCGTTCCCTTCCCAATTTCATCGCTAACGCACACTACACTCATTGACCCCAACTATTGTGCCACCGACCATCCCCATCTACAAGTGACAAGCAACCATTGTGCCACCAGGAATGTTACGGAAAGTGAACAACGATGATGATTTGAACTCATATGCATGAAGTGGATTTATATTATGGCAATGGATATACGAGTTGAATCATTCAAGGGAGGAAATCTTAGATTCTAGAGAGGGAGGGATAGATAACGTCAGCAATGGTTTGAATCACTAACTTGAGCTTGACTTGCACAAAACTAAACCTGACATAAATTTGGGATAGGTCTGAGGCCACTTTTTTTATCCAGATATCTGGGCGGGTCAAACTTGCCCATTAAATTGGGCCAAACATCATGCCCATGAAGGTGATTTACAGAGTCATAAGGCGGTCTACCCTAAACCTTTATGTGTACTACACACAAATATTTGTAATTAAGATATATATTAGTATTTGTATCTAGCTAATATTATTTTGATGTTCAAATGAACATAATATGAATATTATACAATACATAATTATAAAATTATAATTTCCTCAATGAGTATATAAAAACATATTTGTATAATATATGGTAGGTATTTATATGTTTATATATAAGATGTGGGTGAGCTTGCTAGACCATATGAGCCAAACATTAAACACAAGCCCATTTATACTATGTTACATGCCAGTTTGACCCATCCCACATGGGCTCATTTTGTTGTGCATATATGCCCAGTCTTACGGGTGGAATGGATGTGCTCGATGGACTGGTCCGAATTTTTGCAGATCTAACTTGAGTAGATTTTCAAAATATCGGCGACGATGGCGATCTAAAAAGGTGAGGGCAGAAGAAGAAATGAAAGGGGGGAAATAGCAACTGAAAAATGAAGAAGAATATGGTTGTGGCGGAGGCTCCATCGTTGGTGACGATGATGTGAGTGAAGAAAAAGAGAACAAGAAGAATACAAAATGAAGTAATGAGATGAAATCACATCATGGATGATATTTAGGTTAAGTTCGGGTTGCAATGGTAAGTAAGTTACTTAGAACATGACATTTACAAATAAACGAGAGATTATTTTTCAAACAAACAAAAAGTACACAAATAACTTTTTTCTGTATTAATTCTTTTTGGTACTTTTTTCAAAATATAATGGTAATTTTATCACTTAGTAGTATCAAAATTTAAAGCATCACAAGCATGAGCTTGAGCGATGGAAACTCACTCCAAAAATTTAGATACAAAATTAGATGCTCAAGCCAACATATAAGCAATATGTGTCATTAATTTCCAAACCATAGACTATGAGAGAGAAATGAATTATGTCTCAAATGACTATTAATTAATTAATTTTTTATTTAATTACGCAATCAAAAATTAATTTTATTTATTCATAAAAATTATATACAATAACAAAAAAATAAAAAAAATATTTTCCAACATCCAAACCAAAATGCTACCCTCGTAGCTTTTTAAATTTTGGCTTTTTGGACTCAAACAACCAACTCTTACAGTCAACTACCAAGTACTCTTTTGAACTGTTTGACGAGTCAGATTCACTAAAATTGATCAAAACAACCAAAAGTCATCCTAAGAGCATGCTCTTTAGGACTGGAAAAAAGAGTTGGATGTTGGAAGAAACTGGAAGGAACTGAAAAAAACTTTAAGAAACTGGAAGGAACAGGAAAAAATTAAAAGAATATGAAAAAACTAGAAAAAATGGAAAATCTAAAAAAACTTTTTTGTGAGTTTTTATATTATTCTCATTCTAATTCTTGTTGTCATAAATTATTGTTGTTGTTGTTGTTGTTGGTGGTGGTGGTGGTGTTATCACAATATCTTAATCAATGGCTTTAAGATAAAAAAATATATTGTTATTTTTCATACAAGAAAAACTAGTTTTGTTAAAAGTAATTAGAATATAAATTTAGGATAAATATCAAAATGTTAAATACTTAAAAGTTATTATGGCTATGCAGCATTGCGATTATATTTTATATATTAAAGATTTTGTTTTAAATATTAGGGACAATATATATGCACAATATTTTACATATTAGAGACAATAAATTTATATGTGCAATTACGGAGTATAGTTTTTACACTATGGTTATGTTGAAATTGATTGAATTATTTATATTTATATGTGCACTATTTTACATATTAGAGACAATAAAAAGTAGATCAAATAATAAAAGTATAAATTTTTTGTTAGTTGTATTTTAATAATTGGTGATATTATTTGTTATCTGAATTTCTTTTTTACACTTTTTGGGTCATTTTTTCTTTTTCAAAATGTAGTGCTCTCTTGGTTTTCTTAATGTAGTACTCCTCATCCCATTCCATTTTTATATTTTATATTAAAATATTGATGTTTACCTTATATATATTTAGATTAAAAAACATTGTATATAACTATTTTTATCCATAATTTTTTAAATAATTTAAAATATTGATGTTTTCTTATTTTATCATGTAGATTAATATATAAAAATGATATTATTCATATTTAAAAGTTGAATAAAAAATAATAATGTGTGTGAATCATAAAAATAGTGAAATGAAAAAATGAAATAATTTATAAACTATAGTTATGAATATAATAGTTTTAATAATAATAATAATATTTTTTTAGAGTGATTTGTCGCAAAGTAGAATGAGTTTGAGGAAAATAAAAATAGTTGGAAGAAACTAGAAGGAAATGAAAGGAATTTAAAAAAACTAGAAAAAATTAAAAAAAACTGAAAGAAACTAAAAAAAACTAG